AATTTTATTGCCCCATAAAGTTTCTTTGTGTATGTTGGAGACAGTCCTCTACTTCCATCTGGCAACCCCTGGTCTTTTTTGTTACTGTAGGATTTTGTTTTCCTGTAAATGAACCTTGTCTGTATGCAGCTTCTTTGGTTTAGCATGGCTTCTTGAGATTCAGCCTCTGTTGCATGTGTCAGGTGTTCTCATTGCTGAGAGGTAAGCTGTTTTGTGGAGTATGTACATTTGTTTTATCCACTCAGCAGATGGATACTGTTATTTTGGGGTGTTTATTTTAAACCTACTTCTCTACGTACCTGTGGAGGTTAAAGGACAACCTGTGGGTGGTGGCCTCCCCTCCACTATCTTGTATTTTCCAAGGATCAAACCCAAGTTATCAACCTTGGCCACAAACGTCTGTATATGCTGAGCCATTTTGTCAGTCCCTGTTTTCAGCTTTTGACTGTAACGCGTAAAGCTGCTTTAAACATTGCAGTAAACATTTTGTATGAACATATATTTTCAGGCTGGATTAGTAGTTCATACCTGTAACCCCAACATGTAACTCCAGACTGAAACAGAAGGATGGTCAGGGGTTTGAGACTTTCTTGGGCTACCTAGTGAGTTCAAGGCCAGCCTGGGCTACATCATGATACCTTATCTGAAAAACAAAACAAAAACCTCCCAGAACAAGGTCAGTGAGATGATTCAGCAGGTAAAGGCGCTTGTTCCCAAGTCTGATGACCCAAGTTTGATCCCTGGAGCCCACATAGTAGAAAGAGAAAACCAGCTGCAAGTTGTTCTTTGCCTTACACATGGGTTATTGTGTTGTATGCCCATACATATAAACAAAAATAATAAATGTTTTAAAGAAAGAAGATTATACATTTCATTTCTCATATGTGCATGTGTAACTAGGTCCTCTGTTATAAAGGTCTCCATGCAAGTATCCTTGCTCCTGCTTATTAGTAGTATAGTTATTTAATCTTTCTCCTGTATGTAGTGATAAAAAAAAACCATGAAGATTGCCATGTGGTAGGTGCTGTATAAATTTGTGGAGCAGATTCTCTTGCTTTAAATTCTTTGGGGATAAGGACTTAAATTCTTTCTGATGTTTTAGCATATGACTTTGTTAATATGGAGCACAGATTGGCATTGAATTTTCAGTCCTCCTGCCTGTTTTCCAAGTGCTGGAATTAAAGGTTTGTGCCACTTCGATTTGAAATATAGTATACAACCAGTAATTCAGATAAAATGAAAAATTTTAATTATTTTAGCAAATTTGCACTTTGATAGTAGTACTTCATAGAAATTTTGGAAAACAGAAGAACCAAAAGCAGAAAATATGCAATGTATTTCTCAGTTTTTTTTTTTTTTTTTTGAATACCATGTTCCGCCCTTGTGGAAGCCAGAAAAGGACATCAGATCCCTTGGAACTAGAATTACAGACCATTTGTGAACTGCCATGTGGGTGCTGGGAACCAAACTTGGGTCTTTTGCAAGAGCAGCAAGTGCTCTTATGAGCGTTTTGCCAGCATGTATATAAGTATACCATGTTCCGCCCTTGTGGAAGCCAGAAAAGGACATCAGATCCCTTGGAACTAGAATTACAGACCATTTGTGAACTGCCATGTGGGTGCTGGGAACCAAACTTGGGTCTTTTGCAAGAGCAGCAAGTGCTCTTAACCCCTGAGCCATTTCCCAGCTCCTGTACTTCAGCCTTTTGGCAAGAGGCTTGCAGCTTGCTTTTTAAGAATTTTATTGTAAGCCAGGTATGGTGGCACAAGCCTTTAATCCCAGCAGGGCAGGGCAGTCTTTGTGAGTTTGAAGCCAGCATAGTCTACATAGGGAGTTCCAGGCCAGCTGGGGCTAAAGACAAAAAAAAAAAAAAAAAAAAAATCTTTAATTCCATTTGATATATTAACTGTTGGGGCAGGGAAGAGGCTGGAAAAAACGGTAGGTTTTCAACATCAGTATATAATGTAAACACAGCATTTAGTCAGAATTACCTTTGAAAATTATTTCTGAAGGGCTTGCACAGCTCTCATAATTCCAGAGTAATCATTTTCTCCCTCCAGCACTGTTTTCTTTGCATGGGATGAAGCATTTAGCTTTTATTGAAGAGACACATTGTATAAAACGTGTCTGTCTTTTAAACACTAGCCTCAAGTTCGCACTGAGAAGTATGCACTGTGAGAACTGAAACCAAATGATGTAATAGGGACTCATGTTTTTTTTTGGTCTTTTGAGACATGGTCTCTCTGTAGCCCCAGCTGTCCTCGAACTCACTTTGTAGGCCAGGCTGGCCTTGAACTCACAGAGATCCGCCTGCCTCTGCCTTCTGAGTGCTGGGATTAAAGGCATGCGCCACCACGCCGGGCGGATTCATATCTTGACACATGAGATCTTGGCATCTCATCCTTTCTGTAGGGCCTACTGCAGCTCAGTAACATATTGCTAGGCAGGAACCTTAGCAACCCCCCCTCCCCCTTCTTATTCTTTGCCTCTTCCACTCCCTACTTTTTCCTTCCCTACCTTGACACAACACCAGAAGAAACAGGGTAGAGAGATGGTACAGGGATCCTTAGAAAGTGTGGTGGAATTTGAATTTGTAAATTTTTGTTTGTTTGTTGTTTGAGACAGGGGCTCCGTGTAGCCCCAGCTGGCCTGGAACTTGCTATGTAGCCCAGGCTGGCCTCTGTCTCACAAAGATCCTCCTACCTTTGCCTCCTGAGTGCTGGAATTAAAGGCTTGCATCACCACACCCAGCTGAATTTGTAAATTTAAATATCCAAAATGAGACTTACAGGCAGAGCTAATATTTATTTTAGTAGTGCCATAAGAAGACTGCTTGCTCATTTAAATTACTTATTCCAAGTTTTTATAGAGCCTTCAGAGTATGTAGAACATTTACATCTGAGATATAATGAGCTCTTTATACTGTGATCAGCCAGGGTCAAAGTAAGGTTTAACCTGAATGACAGAATCTACAAGAACTGATTTGGCTTGCTATTGTTTTACTTTAGAAACCTTTCATTTAAAAAACCATTATAGACTGAGAAGTTACAAATATAGAAGAGAAGAATCTAGGTCCTCCCAGGGGTTATACCTCACATAGCTACAGTCAACAGAGAGAGAATGGACATACACACGATACACTTGAGAACAGTTTGTTGACTAAATAAGCAACAGACTTCAGTTCCAGTATGTGGTTGTTTCTCATGTTATCATATGTCTGCATATATGGTGTATTATATGGCACTTAAAAGTAATTTTAAGAGCTGGAGTAATGGCTCAGCAATTAAGAACACTGGTTTCTCTTGCAGATAACCTGGGTTCAAATACCAGCACCCACATTGCAGCTAACAACTATTTGTAACTCCAATTAGAAGGAATCTTACACCCTCTTTTGGCCTCCATGGGCATGTATTTCTTGCATTTGAATACCTGCAGGCAAAACATTCATACCCATGAAATAAAAAATAAAATACGAATTTTAAGAATAATTTTAAAAATTATTTAGAGTATATGTGCATGCACATGTGCATATGTGTGCAGGCCCTCAAATATCATAATACATATTTGAAGACAACTTTTGGGAGTGAGCTCTCCCCTTTTTTTGGTCTTATTGAGACAGGGTCTCCCTGCAGGCCTGGAACTCACAGAAATCTGCCTGCCTCTGCCTCTGAGTGCTGGGATTAAAGGCATGTGCCACCACTCCAGGCCTGTGAGCTCTCTCCTTTCACCTAAGGCCTCTCATTTCTGCTGCTGTGCTGTGTATTCCAGGCTAGCTGATCTGCAAGCTTCTCTGGTTTCTGCCTCCAATTTCATTGTAGGAGTATAGGGGTTACAGATGCCCATCAGGGCCTCTGCCACATCCAGCTTTTTTTTTTTTTTTTTTTTTGTCTTTTTGAAACAGGGTCTCCCTGTAGCCCCAGCTGTCTTGGAACTCACTGTGTAGACTAGGCTGGCCTTGAACTCACAGAGATTGCCTCTCTCTACCTCCCAAATACTGGGACTACAGGCGTGCGCCACCATGCCCGGCTTACATCCACCTTTTTACCTGGTCTCTGGGCATCGAACTTGTGTTTTCAGGTTTGAGCATCTAGTGTTTTTACCTGCTGAAACATCTCTCTGGCCTCAAATATAGTTTTATTGAAAAGTTGCAAAAGACTTGTTCTCAGAATCTTCACTTGCTTGCCCTCAATTGTTAAGCTCTCTTATATTTCCTTTTTTTTTTTTTTTTTGCCTGGGGGTCTTTTTGAGACAGGGTCTCCCTGTAGCCCCAGCTGTCCTGAAAACTCACTATGTAGACCAGGCTAGCCTTGAACTCACAGAGATCCCACCTGCCTCTGCCTCCCAAGTGCTGGGACTACAGGCTTGTGCCACCACGCCCAGCTCACATTTCCTTTTAATTAAGGAACCAACATTGGTGCCTTACTATTAAACTCAATACTTTATTTGGATTTTACTGGTTTTCCCTGAATGTTGATTTTCAGTTCCTAGATGCTCTTCAGAATACTAGCACTTATTTAATCACTGTGTTTCCTTAGGCTTGTTTAGATTGAGTGGTTTTCATATTTTCCTTGGTTTTGATAATCATGACAGCTTTGAAGAAAGATTACTTATTTTGTAGCCTTCGTAAGTATTTGGCATTTCTTTCATGGCTGAGCTAGGGTTACAGGTTTTTGAGAAGACCACAGAGTTGAAACGTAGTTTTTATCACAGTATATCAAGGATGCATGCCATTAACTTGACTTAACACTGTTAATGTTGACTTGCTTGGTTGAGGTTATATTGGCAGGTTTTCCACCATAATGTTATTACTTCTTCCTGAGTGCCCTGTTCTTCTCTGAGGAAGCAGGTCACTAAGCTCAATTTATATGCAAGGTGTGGAGAGACTCAACCCCATAGAGGAGTTACCTACAAAAATTATTTGAATTAAGTGTTTTTTTTTTTTTTAAGTTTATGCAAATAGCATGGGTACTGAATAAGTCTAATGTATCTGTTCTTTGCAGGGTGGGAAACCCCGTAAGCACCGGAAGGATCGGCTACAAGATTTAATTGATATAGGCTTTGGCTATGATGAGACAGATCCATTTATTGATAACTCAGAGGCTGTGAGTAATATATCTTTAATATAGCAGCAAATTCTTTGTGGTAGAAGTGAAGGCAAAGCAACTTACGTAGTTTAATGAATGTTTTTATTTGTGCTTTTCAAAGCTGTTTTCATTACTTAGTTTTTTTTTTTGTTGTTGTTGTTTTAAAGAACACTATGGATTTAAATTTTTGTGTGTTGGGTTGTTTATTGTGAGACTATATTGCTGTCCTGGGCCAGATTTCAACATACTTTCTGTAAAGGCCCAATAGTCAATATTTTAGACTGTGGACCATATGGTGTATACTCTAGTGACTCTGCTACTTTACATGAGAGCAGCTGTAGAGAACATGTAAGTGAACGAGTGAGGCAGTGTTGAGGGAAACTTCACTTACAGGCGATGAGTTTAAATTCATCCAACTTTCTTGTGTCACAAAATATTTAATCTGCTATTTTCCCAACCATTTAAAAAATGTAAAATCCATTCCTGGCAGGCTGACTACAAATAAGCTGGTAGGCTGGGTTTGGGCAGCAGATCATGGTTTGCTGTTCCTTGTGGTTTGCTGTGCCAAGAATCTTGAGGTTAATAGTTGCTTATTTCAATTTTTTAAAGTTTATTTTATTTTAATTTAAATTTTTTTTTTAAACTTTGTGTATGCGTGTATTGCCTGCATGCAGGTAAGTGCACCCGTGTCGTGCAATGCCTGAGGAGGTCAGAAGAGGCTATCGGATCCCCTGGGACTGGAATTAAGGACAGTTGTTAGCTGCCATGTGGGTACTGGGATTCAAACCCTGGGTCTTCTGCAAGAACAACCAGGGTTCTTAACCACTGAGCCATCTCTCCAGCCCCATAGTTGCTTATTTCAAGCATGTAGTTTTGCATTAGTTCCTAGAAAAAGCCATTGCTCCTTGCCCAAACTGAGAATAAAAGTAAAGTTTTAAAAAAGGAAAAAGAAGCCAGGTATGGTACCTGTACCCGTTATCCCAGCAGTTGGGAGGTAGAAGCAGGGAAACCAAGAGTTCAAGGCCATCCTCGGGGTCATGGCAAATTCAAGGGCAGTTTGGGTTAAATGAGACCCTATGTCAAAACATGAACACACACAAGAAAAAGAATAAAGTTCTAGCCAAATGCTGAAAACTATTAACCTTCTTAGAAAAACATTGATGTGCTTGTCTTAACTAAGATTTATTGAATTAGAATTTCTGGATATAAGGCTTAAACAAATATTTGTTGTTAGGGTTTCTTTGGTTTTTATTCTTCATTTTTATTTATTTATTTTTATTTTAGACAGGGTCTCCCTCTAGCCCAGCTGGCCTGGAACTTCCTATGTAGACCAGGCTGACCTCTATCTCACAGACAGCCTGCCTCTGGCTCCCCAGTCCTGGGGCTAAAGGTGTGCTTCGCCATGCCTGGCTTATTCCTGTTTTTAAAAGAATCATGCATGGTACTAGGGAGATGGCTCATTTAGTACACTGCCTGCCATGCAAGCATGAAGACCTGAATTTGGATTCCCAGCACCAATAAAAATATCAGGCACTACAGTGTGTGTCTTTAACCCAAGTACTCGGGGATGTGAGTTGGGGAGGGAGATCCTAGGACTTACTGACTGGCCAGTCTAGCTGAATTAAGAGCTTGCAGTTCAATGAGAGACCCTGTGTTAAAAAATAAGATGGTGGAGGACTTGAGAAAGATACCTAACCATCCATTTCTGGCCTCCACATGCTCCTGCATGAGTGAGTGTATCTGCACATACATACACAAATCAATTATGCTATGCTAAATCAGCAAAAGAGCATAAAATGGTTATGAAGTGCAAGGTGTGAAGTACAAGGTAAAGTATCCTCAGTGGCCTCTATTAAGAGGTAAACATTAAAAAACTTCCTGCAAGGCATGGTGGTGTACACCTTTAATCCCAGCTCTCAGGAGGCAGAGGCAGACAGATCTCTGTGAGTTCAAGGCTTACCTGGCCTAGCGAGATCCAGGCCAGGCAGGGAGACCCTGTCTCAAAAAAACCTTGTGTAGTTGTCCAGAATCTTTTGTGTATAGTAAACATACAACACATGTATAATTTTTTAAACTAACAGAAAAGGCAGATGTGGTGGTACATGCTTTTAATCCCAGCACTTCCAAGACAGAGGCAGGTGGATTTCTGAAAGTTCTTGGGCAGCATGGTCTACATAGTGAATTCCAGGCATCCAGGGCCAAATAGTGAGACCCTATCTCAAAAAGAAAAAAATTAACAGAAATAAGATAATTTTATGTATTTAAGATACTGTTTTCTTATTGACATTTGACATCTTTTAATGGCATTTACATTTTTGCATAGATATATTTATTTTTATTTTATGTGTATGAGTGTTTTGTCTGCTTGTATGCAAATGCACCACATCCATTCAATGCATACAGAGGGCATTGAATCTCTTGGAACTGGAATTACATATGGTGTATGGGTGGTTGTTAGCTGCTATGTGGGTGCTGGGAACCACACCTGGGTCCTCTGTAAGAGCAGCCAGTGCTTTGAATCTCTGAGCCTTCTCTTCAGCCCTAGGAAGGGGTATTTTAAAATGAGTTACAAAATGAGAGCCAAGTAGTTTTGAAGGTTGGCGTTCATAATCCATTCACAGTAGCAGTGCATGAGTTAGGGCATGTCATGTTCTATATTATATTAGATAAGGACTGTGTTCTTCCATTCTTACCCTAGGTATTACCCTAGGATTCTCATATCCTCTGCAGTGTGCAATAATTATCTGTGAAATTCAGAAGGGACAGTAAATACTATATTATCTACAAATTAGTATAGCTTTCGCATGTTGATACAATACTTGGTTGAATCAGCGATGACAGACAGCTTATACTGGTCAAGAAAGCATGATTTAAAAAAAAAAAAAAAAAAGCGTGATAAGCACTGGATACCTTGTCCTGTTCTTAAATTACTTGTAGTTTGTTGATAATACTTAACACATTGGCAGTGCCCTTGGGAGTAGAGAGGCCTTTCTGTTACTGAAAAAATTACCAACCAGCAGGTTAAGACAATGGGATCTTTCAAAAAGATTGCCTGTTATTTGAAAGTTGGTGCCAAAGTCCTAGTTCTGTATTGATTTAGTATCTTTTTAAAAAAATATTTTACAGCCAGGTGTGGTGGCTCATGCCTTTAATACCAGCACTTGGGAGGCAGAGGCAGGTGGATCTCTGTGAGTTCAAGGCTAGCCTAGTCTACATAGGAGTTCCAGGTCAGCTGGGACTATAGGGAGACCCTGTCTCAAAAAGACCTAAATAAATAAATAATAAATAAAAATGTTTTTATAATTTTTTTAAAATGTATGTGTGTATTGCCTGTATATATGTAAGTGCACCCACGTTGTACAGTGCTCACAGAGGTCAGAAGAGGGCTTCAGATTCCTTGGAACTGGAGTTAAATATGGTTGTTAGCCACCATGTGGGTGCTGGAAGTTGAACCTAGGTCCTCTGTAAGAGCAGCCAGTGCTCTTAACTGCTGAGCCATTTTTCAGCCCTTGGTTCAGTATTGTTTGTTTGTTTGTTTTTGTTTTTGTTTTTTTTGAGACAGGGTCTCCCTGTAGCCCCAGCTGGCCTTGGAACTTACTATGTAGACCAAGCTGGCCTTGAACTCACAAAGATCCGCCTGCCTCTGCCTCCCAAGTTTTGGGATTAAAGGCGTGCGCCACCACACCCAGCTTGGTTCAGTATCTTTTAATGTCACCCAGTTTTTTCTGCCATTACTTAGCATCCAGAATTGCTTTGAGATTCAAATAAAATAAATTTAAACATGCTAAAGAACCTAAAACAAGTATAAAGGATCAGTAGTAGTGTTAACATGGAGATTTAAATTCTAAATAATACAAAAGGGAATTCAGTTATGACTGTTGCCTGTGTTCATGCCTACATAAATACCTGTTCTTAAGTCACTTTTTTTTGTTGTTGTTGTCTTTTTAAGACCAGGGTCTCCTTGTAGCTCCCCAACTGACCTTAAACTTGCTACGGAGACCAAGCGACCTCAAACTCACAGGCATCCACCTACCTCTCCCTCCCCAGTGCAGGGATTAAAGGAGTGGGCCTTCACACACACACACACACACACACACACACACACACACACCCTCAGTTCATAAACTTTTAGAGCAACTTTAGATTCACAGCAAAACTGAGAAAGTATAAAAAACTTCCATGTTTACCTTGACCCATATACATACAACTTCCTTTTCTATCAACATCTACATACAGCTTCCTTTTCTATCAACATCCTGTACCACAGTGATATATTTATTAGAACTGATGAACCTAGACGCTAGAAAGATGGCTCAGAGCCTGAGAACACTGGCTGTTCTTGCAGAAGACCCAGGGAAAATCCCAGCACCCACATGGCAGCTAACAACTGTCCACAACTCCAGTTCCAGGACAGCCTTTTCTGTCCTCCCTGGGCATCACAGGACACAGGTGCGCATATATATGTGCAGGCAACACACTCATACACATAAAATAAAAATAATAAAAATATGTATTATTTATATTTTGGTCTTTTTAGACAGGGTCTCCTTGTAGCCCCAGCTAACCTGGAACTTGCTATGTAGGCCAGGCTGGCCTTGAACTCAAAGAGATCTGCCTGCCTCTGCCTTTGCCTCTGGGATTAAAGGTGTCTGCCACCACACCTTTTAAAAAATTCTTTTAAAAAAAAGAATTACTGACCCTACATTGATACACATCTTAACCACCAAAATCTAGAGTTTATCCCTTTTGTTATCCTGTAGTCCAGGTTTAGACAATTGTTTATTGACAGGTATTCACTATTATAGCCTTTTGAGCAGTCACAATGACCCTGAACTTGCTGGAGCATGTTTTTCCCTCATGGAGAAGCTGCTTTGGTATAGTGGGTGCTTTGGGCCTTGGCCAGTGACTTTGCTCTAAGCCAGAAGTAAAAAATAGGTTTGGTTAGGTTCTTACCTGGCTTCTTACCTGGTTACAAGATGGCAATACAATAGTTCCTCCCTGCCTCCATGAGTACCCGAGGAAACCATTTACATGCAGAAGCGTTTTAAAACTAGAATTGTACAATATATGTAACCCAAGATCCAGGGGGTATTCCTCTTATCACATACTTGTTCATTTTTAATTTTTTCTTATTAATCATTCACTTACAGATAGTACTGGCTTTTTTCTGTGAGATTGCAGAGACCTTACAGCAGTGTGTCAGAGAAACTGACAAGAATGTAGTCATCTTCCTTTCTCAGTTCTTTTTTTTTTTTTTTTTTTTTTTCGGGGGGGGGGGGGGGACTTTTGAGGCAGCATCTCCCTGTAGCCCCAGCTGGCCTGGGACTTGCTATTTAGACCACGCTGGCCTCAAACTCAGAGATCTGTCTGCCTCTGCCTCCCAAGTGCTGGGATGTGGTGCTGGTGTTGCCCACCATGCCCGGGGACCCCCCTATTTAAGGCCAAATAAAAATATATTTATACTCCACTATATAAATATACCACATTTTAAAACTTTGTTTACTACTGATGGTCACAGGTTGCTTCAATATCTTTAATTTTTTTAAAATTATTTTATGTATGAATGTTCTGCCTTCGTGTATGTAAGTGCATGCTGAGGCAAGAGAGGACATCAGATCCCCTGGAACTAAAGTTACGGGTGGTTGTTAGCGGCCATGTGGGTGAACTAAACCTGGGTCCTCTGCAAGAGCAGCCAGTGATCTTAACCACTGACCAGTCTCTCCAACCCCTGCTTCAGTATCTTGGCTTTGTGAATGGTGTTGTAGTGAACACAGAAGCACAGGCATCTTTAGTATACTGGTTTCATACCCTCTATAGCGTATCTAGTAGTGGAATTGCTGGGTTTACAGTTAATATTTAAGGAAATTGTCACAATGAATGCCTTTCTTTGACATATTAATAGAATTATAGACAGGAGAACATATCTGAATCTTTTTAAATATAGTATGATGAATTAGTTCCTGCTTCGCTAACAACAAAATATGGAGGCTTCTACATCAACACTGGCACTCTGCAATTTCGTCAAGCTTCAGATACTGAAGAAGATGATATTACAGATAACCAGAAGCACAAGCCATCGAAGGTGAGTCCACTTGACATTTCAGTGGTAGGGGAACATAAGAATTAGTAGTATATGCTTATTTTGTTTATATTTTTACTGTAGCTCTGGGGGTTAAGCCTAGGGCATCATGTATACTAGATAAGCAGTGAACTGGCCTCAGAATATATTTTTTTGAATATTCCTTGTGCCACAACTGTGAACATAATGAGAAGTAACATCTAACCATTGTTTGTTTAATAAATTTTTACCTATATATATTTAAAATTATGTTGATATGGTAGAATGCTTACCTGGCATGCTCCAGACCCTGAATTTGATCCCCATACTATTAAAAACAACGACAACAACAAAAACTATGTAAATATGGGATAATTGATAACTTACGTCATAGTAGGATTATATCTTCTTTTGTATACATAGTCCCCTGATTCTGGGATATGATTAAGTTTCTAGGATAGATTAAGATTTCCAAGCTAGGCTTGATGATGAATGCTTTAATCTCAACACTCCAAAGGCAGAGACAGGTGGATGTCTGAGTTTGAGGCCAGTCTCACACTTTTCTCAAAAGCTAACAACTAAAGCTGGAGAGATGGCTCAGAAATTGAGTTCATATTATTTTTCCAATGGACCTGAATTTGGTTCCCAGCACCCATATCTAGTGACTCACAACCCCTTGTAACTTGAACTCCAAAGGAATCTGATGCCTCTGGCTTCTGCGGACAAGACCTCTACGGGCATTGCATGGCATGGGTGCACTTACGTACATGCAGGCGATACACTCATACAATAAAATAAAAATGTTTTTCAAAATCTTAGAAAAAAAATATTTTTTAAAAGCGATTTTTTCTCTAGTTTCTGCAGAATTATATCTTTAAAAAAATAATTTATTGAGAATTTCATACATGCATATGAGGTGCTTTGATCCAATCCATGCTCACTCCCTCCCTTCCCACTCCCATATCTCCCCATCAGTTTTTTTTTGATAACTTCATGTAATCTTTCTTCTTTTATTTATTTTTTTATGGGGCTTTTGGCTACTCTTAACATTCCCCCCTCTGAAGAGGTAACCCTAAAACTTTAAGGATTGGATAAAAGCTCCCAAATACTTATTTTTGGCCTTTGGAACCGAGTAGATTGCTAAGAGGCCCAAGGACATTGTGAGTTTTAGCCAAAAATCTGGTTACTTTTCTTTGGGGTCTTTTTACCCTAACTACCTAGCAAATTCCTACCTCCTATTCTTACTACTCCATCCTCTGAAGAGGTTACCCACATTGCCAATAGGGAATCTGGATGCAGACCACTCTGGCTTCTTCATGCTGAACAGGGCCAGGGTGAGGCAATTGGAGTATCCCTTCATGGGTCTATCTGAAAGGCTCCTAAAGTACATAACTCTTACCACCACATAGAGGCAGCTTTTTTTTTTTTTTTTTTTTTTTTTTTTTTTTTTTTTTTTTGTCTTTTTGAGACAGGGTCTTTGCTCTAGTCCCAGCTGTCCTGGAACTCACCATGTAGACCAGGCTGGCCTTGAACTCAACAAAGATCCACCTGCCTTTGCCTCCCAAGTGCTGGGATTAAAGGCATGGGCCACTACACCCAGCTGCAGAATTAAAATTTTAAACAATAAAGACCAAATAAACCCCCAAGATTTCCTTTAGAAGAGCTATTAATAACCATTGCCTTTCTTAAGGTCTAATTTGTAACAACTTCAGTTGTACTGTATTTGAGAAATTTGAGAACCAAATACTGTCCATACATGTTTTCTATGTACCAGAACCACCAAAATCCTTACTTAAAATGCAAATTCTAAGGCCTTGCTTTAGTGAATTGAATTAAGACCACAAATGGGGAAGATCACCCATTTGGTAAAATGCTTGCCTCATAAGCTTGAGGATCTGAGTTACTATCCCCAGCATCCATGAAAAAAACCTGGTGTGGTAGCGCACACCTATAATCATAGCATTGGGAAAGCAGAGACAAGGATCCCTGGAGCTTGCTGGCCAGCCAGTTTGCTTTAATCAAAGAGCTCCAGGGACAGTGAGAGATTCTGTTTCAAAATATCAGGGTAGCAAATGAAGAAGGCATCCACCTTTTACATGTACCTGTACTCACCTAAACAAATATACACACCCACATAAGACAGCAAACACATAGGTAAGTGTGCTCATAGACCCCAAGAATCTCTGCTTTAGAAAATATTCTAACACTGATGCTTTAAAAAAATGCCACTCTTCTGGATGCTGTATTACTAATACCAAAAAGGAAAATACTAGATAAATGATGCATTATCATTTTTCAGGTTCCTAAAATGAAAGAAGATGATACTGAGATGAAGAAAAGGAAGAGGAAAGAGGATGGGGAAAAAGAGAAGAAGCCAAGGAAAAAAGTACCCAAACAAATGGGGTATGTTAAATTCAACCTACTACAGAAATTGTGATAATTTCTCCTTTTAGAAACTTATTCACCACTAATTCATTCAGTTTAGTTGAGTCTAATTTGATACAGTATTTTTTTTTTTTTTTTTTTTTTTTTTTTTTTTTGAGACGGGGTCTCCCTGTACCCCCCCCTGGCCTAGAACTCACTGTGTAGACCAGGCTGGCCTTGAACTCACAGAGATCCGCCTGCCTCTGTCTCCTGAGTGCTGGGATTAAAGGCATGCACCACCACGCCCAGCTTGATACAGTATTTTAAAATTAATTTTTATGCATATGAGTGTTTTATATTCATGTATGTAACTACACCTGTGTGTGCAATTTCTTCAAAGGTCAGAAGAGGGCATCATCCCCTGGAACTGGAGTTAGCAATGGTTATTAGCTGCTGTGTAGGTGCTGGGAACTGAACTTGGCTCCCCTGCAAGAGCAGCCAGTGCTTTTTACCACTGAGCCATCTCTCCAGCCCCATGATACAGTGTTTAAGTGTTAATGACCTGTTGCATTTTAATCATATCATGGTACATATTAATAATACATAATAAGTAGTAGGCTTTGTCATTTTAGAGATTGGTGGTGTTTCATATTATACTTACAGCTTGTTTTATTGAATATTTTGCTCATTACAACTCTACTAAGAAGAAGTTCACACTGGGTATGGTAGCACACATGTGTAATCCCAGCACTTGGGAGATTGAAGCTGGAGGATGAGGAGTTTAAGGCCACTTTGAGCTACATAGAGAGTTTGAGGCCAGTTTGAGTTATTTGAAACCATGACCTAATAAATCAAAAGAAACAAAGCAAAAGAACCAGTTTTAAAAGTTAGTAAAAACATCAAAGTGTTATAATCTTTTGATGCTAAAACTAATCTTAGGTGGTTGGAAATTGAGGATTATCAGCATAAATGATGTGATTTTTTTTTTAAATTTTATTTTATGTGTATGCGTGTATTGCCTGCATGTAGGTAAGTGCACCCATGTCGTGCAATGCCTGCAGAGGTGAGAACAGTCTGTCGGATCCCCTGGAGTTACGGACTGTTGTTAGCTGCCGTGTGGGTACTGGGATTCGAACCCAGGTCTTCTGCAAGAACAACCAGTGTTCTTAACCGCTAGGCTATCTCTCCAGCCCCGTGTAATTGTTTTAATATAAAAAAATTTCACAGACTGGATAGATATGTGACCCACTGGTAGAACACTTGCCTAGCTTATGTGAATCCTGGGTGCCATCCCCATCACTGCAAAAATCTTTTTTTTTCCGTTGAATTTATTCTGTTTTTCCTAACATTTATGACTTGAGGTAACATTTCTGGTAGAAAAGCAAATAGAGTGCTGGGCATGATGATGTAATCCTTCCACTTTTGGATGCTGTGGAAGGACAATCATGAATTCAGAGCCAGCTGGCTACATAGAAAGTGCTCTCAAATGCTACTACTTGCCTCTAGGGGGAAACTCTTGTGGGAGGTTGTTAGAGGCTGGGCTTTCCTTTCCTCAGCAGGGATGTACATCTCTATCTCAAACATTGGTACAGTGAGGTATTTCTCCCCTCAACATGGGAATGTGGATGTAATAATGACCTTAAGTCATTGGGAAAGCCAGCTGTGTTATCACATGAGTAGTCCTAGCATTCATGAGGCTGATTGAAGCAGGAGGATTGTGAGTTCCAAGCCAGCCTGAGCTGTGCAGCAAGTTCAACTACATAGTGAAACCTGTCTCGAAGAAATAAATGATTGATAAAGCTATATTCATTATGAATGGTTGTTTTAAATGCTCATTATTTACAAGTAAACATTATGGGGCACATAAACTATAATGCCTTTCATTGAATTTATAATTTCATAAACTTTTACTTATTCAGCAAATATTAAGTACTTCCTGTATTTTAGACACACACACACACACACACACACACGTATATGTATATGTCTGTGTGTGTATGACAATAACTGAAGTCTGGACATGCCTTCAAGGTAATGTTATATACATTATAGTTTATATTGAAACATCTAAGTTATAAAACTTGGTAGAAATTTGTTAGGTGAAATGATAACTAAACTGAAAACTTTACCCATAGGTTGTATTGAGAAAAGGTTTGCATGTCATCTTTGTGCAGGGGCCATGCATATGTGCTGCTGAAGTGAGCACAAGAAAAGGTTATTGATAATTACGCTTATAACCTCGTTGCCTAATATACCCTTTTCTAGGATGGATGTTTTAGATAGTTGTAAAAGTTTGAATATGAATAGAATCGGGCTGAGTGTGGTGGCACATCCTAGCACTTGGGAGGCAGAAACAGGCAGATCTCTATGAATTTGAGGCTGGCCTCATACACGTAGCAGGGCTACATAGTGAGGAGACCCTGTCTCAAAAAAAAGAACTTGTGAAGAATAAGAGAAATGGGGTGGTAAAAACTCAGAGATTAAAAAGTATATATTTTTTCCCAGCTGGCCGTGGTGGCGCATGCCTGTAGTCCCAGCACTTGGGAGGCAGAGGCAGGCGGATCTCTGTGAGTTCAAGGCCAGCCTGGTCTACATAGTGAGTTCCAGGACAGCTGGGGCTACAGGGAGACCCTGCTTCAAACAAACAAACAAACCAGCTGCAATGAGGAAAAAAAAAAAAAAAAAAAAAACTTTGAAAAAAAAAAATTCTTTAAAAAAAGTATATATTTTTTCATCACCAGTTTGTAGCTTTCATAAAAGTATAGTTTAAGAAATTTAGGACGGGGGTGGTGGCGCATGCCTTTAATCCCAGCACTCGGGAGGCTGAGGCAGGCAGATCTGTGAGTTCAAGACTGGCCTGGTCTACATAGTGAGTTCCAGGCCAGCTGGGGAGACCCTACAAGGAGACCCTGTCTCAAAAAAGACCAAAAAGAAATTAAGAAGAAAACAGTTTGCTCTGCTACCTCCCATGATTGTTTTAATTCCAGGCCTAGTTTTTTAACATAGGTGTTAGCCTTTAAAATGACACATAGTCTAACCAATGTATGTTTGTTGTTTTTTTAATTGACAGAGTTGTGGCTCTCAATTCACACAAGTCTGAAAAAAAGAAGAAGCGTTATAAAGATTCTCTTTCTCTAGCTGCCATGATACGAAAATTTCAAAAAGAGAAGGATGCATTAAAGAAGGAGTCTAACCCTAAAGTCCCTGTTACCTTATCTGCTTCTCTGACTAAGCCCGCCTGTCCTGACACAGCTCTGGGGAATGATGTCCCGGACTTAAATCTGAATAGCCCTGATCCAGACCTCCCCATTTTTGTTAGCACAAATGAGCATGACCTATTTCAGGAAGCTGAAAATGCCCTAGAGATACTAAATGATTTTGACTTTGACAAATTATTGGACGCTGCTTCTGATGGTAGCCCCTTGTCTGAGTCAGGAGGAGAAAATGGAAACACTGCCCAGCCAACCTTCACTTCTCAGGTTATGCCCAAGGTGGTACCTACACTCCCGGAGGGTCTGCCTGCACTTCTTGAAAAACGCATTGAGGACCTTCGTGTAGTAAGTGTAATGATGCTTTTCATTTTTATTTGCTACACAAACGTGATACATGGATTTTTTTTAAATTTATTTTATGTGTGTGAGTGTTTTGCCTGCATGTAAGTGTACCACATGAATGCAGTGCATGCAGAGGCCAGAAGGGGATGTGCTATTCTCTGGAACTGGAGTTATAGATAGTTGTGAGCTGCTGTGTGAGTGCTGGGAACTTAACTTGGGTCCTCTGCAAGAGCAACCAGTGTTCTTAACCACTGAGGCATCTCTACAGCCCATATTTATCATTTTTTAACAACAAAAATAATCAACAATCCCAACAACTTTTTATTTTCTGTAGTTTCTTTTAGACATTGGCTATATACACAAGAATTTTCTTTGAAATTGAAATAACTAGTCATAACATGAATAATGAACACACTTGATTTCCCTGAGCCTAGGGGCAAGCATTCTACCACTGAACCACATTCCCAGGTTGCAGTTGATTTTTTTTAAACTATTATTTTTCTTATTTATTTTTATTTTATGTATATGAGTGTTGTGCCTGCATATGTGTAAGTATACCTTGGGCGTGCAGTGCCGGTGGAACACAGAGGAGAGCATTGGATTCCCCAGAACTGAAGATATGGATGGTTGTTAGCTGCTGTGTAGGTGCTGGGATTCAAAACCAGGTCTTCTGCAAGAATAACCAGTGCACTTAGCCACTGAGCCATCTCTCCAGCCCCCAGTTGATCCTTTTATTTTCAGGTTACCTTATAAACTTTTTTTTTTTTTTTTTTTTTGTGGTCTTTTTGAGACAGGGTCTCGGTGTAGTCCCAGCCGTCCTGGATTCACCATGGAGACCAGGCTGGCCTCGAACTCACAGATATCCACCTGCCTCTGCCTCCCAAGTGCTGGGACTACAGGCATGTGCCACCACGTCCGGTCCTTATAAACATTTTTGTATAGGTTTCATAATACAATTGATATTAACTTACATAGTCATGTAAAAAAAAAAATAGGAACAAACAGCATTGCAGAAGCCTACTTGAACTTTGTCCAAGCTATATCGACATCTTGTTACTTTTATTATTTAATTTTGCTTTTGGGGGGATCAAACTCAGGGCTTCATACATCCTAGGCAAGAGTTCTATCACTGAGCCATATCCCTTGTCTCTAGTTATTTTATAGTCTATTTTTAATTGATTGAAAATTTCATACGTGAATATATTGTGTTTTGATCAAATCCACCCCCGTTTTCTCTCCTCTACTTCCTCTCCTGTTCCCACCACATTCCCTCCTGATTCCATGTGTTCTTTTTTATTAAAACCCATTGAGTCCACTTAGTACTACCAGTATGTACATGGATGTAGGACCATCTACTGAAGCATGAGTAGCCTCTCGGGCTGCATCCCTGAAGAAAACTGACTTTCCAGGTCTGGAGAGATGACTCATTGGTTAAGAGCACTAGCTGCTCTTGCAGAAAACTTTGGTTCGAACTGACATGGCTGCTAACAAACCTCCACATTTCCAATTCCAGGGGATCCACTGCCCTCTCCTGACCTCCATGGGCACTGCAGGACATGGGTGCACTTATATACATGCAGGCCAAATACTCATTATAAATAAGATAAAAATAATAAATAAAATATTTTTAAAAAGACAAGAAAACTGACTTTCCTTCTCCCAGCAGTTATCAGTTGCCAGTAACTTCTCAGCTAGGCGTGGGACTTCATGACCACCATTCCTCATCTGTGCTGAGATTTTGTCTGGGTTGGTCTTGTACGTGCATTCTTGGCTACTGTGTTCATCAGTACAAGTGCCCCATTGTGTACAGAAAACACTGTCCTGCTGTAGTCATCTACTATCTCTGGCTTTTCAAACCCTTCTGCCCTCTCTTCTGCATTGATCACTAAGACTTAAGAAGAGAGAGTATGGTATAGGTGTCTCATTTAGGGCTGAGCACTCCACAGTCTCTTATTCTCTGCACATTGACCAGTTGTGAGTCTCTATGTTAATCACCATCTACTGCATAAAGAAGCTTCTTTGTTGAAGGTTGAGAAATATCAAGCATGAGTTCAGTCTTGTAAAGTGCTCTTTAAATCCAATGATAAAATGGTTTACTCCCATGACATTCCTGCCACTATTGTACCAGTGGACTTATCTTACCAAGCTGGTTATTATTCTAGCTCACAGGGTTCCCAGCTGAGTAAGATTGATGATAACTTTTCTTCTCCAGTAGTATGAGTAGCACCTTCCAGCACTGTGAAAGCTACCAAGTAGGGATGAAGGTTTCAGGTTAGTACTAGCTGATTTCTCCATGTTTTATGATTCATGCTTATAATATCATCAGCAATAAGGTCTTACCATGCATGATGTTCTGGAGGCTAAACCAAGAGCAGTGGCAATAGCTTGTAATGTTTGGGGATCCCTGGGGCTCCACTTGACCAACTACATGAATGAGCAAGTATCACTGTAGTAGGATATATCTTTGGGGGTATTCCTGGAAGAGGGGCATAGCTGGTTCATATGGTGGATGTATTTCTAGCTTTTTTAGTAACTTCCCACTGATCTCCCTAGTGACTGTATCAGTTTGTACTCCTACCAACAGTAAATGTATTTCTTTCCCCGCATCCACACAAGTATTATTTTTTGAGTTTTGTTTGTGTATTAGTCACTTTTCTGTTGCTGTGATAGAATCACTGACCAAAACAATTTATAAAAGGAAAAGTTTATTTGAGCTTATGGTTCCAGGGAAATTATATAGTCCATCATGGTGGGAAGGCACGGTGGCTGGAGGTGGCTGGAGCAGGAGCAGCAGAAGCTAAGCTCTCACATCATCAAGCAGGCACAGGAAGCAAGAGCATGACTGGAGATCTGGCAAGGCTTAAGACCACTCTAAGCCCACCCCCAGTGACGTGCTTCCTCCAGGATAGCCATACCTTCTAAGACCTCCCAAAACAGCACCACCAACTGGGGACAAAATGTCCAAATACTTGGAGCCTATGGGGGACATTTTCATTCAAACCACCATGCCGCTTCCCTGGGCTCTGTCCAGCAGAGCCCAGTAAAAACGACCACCACCAACGGCCAGTTCAAACTTCTCTTCTTTTTTTATTGCCCGGTTCCATCCCCTTTTATCTCCTTCTCCCTCCAATCACACCACATTCCGTAGGATACACAAGCCAGATCACTAGACAGGATTGGTCGGGACACTCTGTCCCCGAGCCCTTGTGCCAGCAGCCACGCTTTCCTTCACTGCTGCGCATGCGCCATTAACTCATCATGGGGCTTGGCAGGGTGCCCAGGCACCATCTTGGGCACTCCCGCATGAGCCCGCTCTCCACATCTCCCCCTTTTTGTTTTTGTATGACGACTGGGATCAGGTCTGTCTTAGGTTGCCCTGGTCCACTCCAAGTCCTTACCCGTCATCAGCTAACCCAGCAGTATAACGGGGCGCCTGTCTTAGGTTGGTACCTGTGTGCCAAGTTCTTACCCGTCATTGACTCTGATCCAGCATATTCAGCTATACTGTGGGCGAGGCTCCCATCTCTATGGCGACTAGGGCCTGGACAATAGCCTGTCTCTGGCTTTGTTGTTGTTTACGTATCCTACACGTGAACCACACCAAACATCCACACACCAAGATCAACAAGAAGAACCAAAAAGCCATCCCTCCCCAGCTGCGCAGCCAAGATACAGTGCTTCTCAAGCAGGACAGAAAGTCTTGTACAGCTGCGATTTCTACTCGAGTGCTGTTGACATTCAAAATGGCTGCACGCAGTTCTTGCACCTTCGAGTCGAATTCTTGAGACCAGTTTCCTCAAAGATGTTCACTCAGGGCTCGAGACAGATTACTGGCCACTGAAAAGTTAGAGAACTGAACAGCAGTAACACATAATCCTTGCATCTGATGTATACATCCTACCTGTAGCATTTGCCCAAGCATATCCACCTGTTCCTGTAACAAATCTACTCTCTGATTAATCATCAAAATGCCTGCTTTAAGCATGCAGTTGATCTGTTCCTGTGCTTCCAAAGCCATAGCTGTCTTTCCTGCCAATTCATTAAGCACAGTAGCAGTCTGTACTCCAGTGGTCAGTGCAACTGCAGCGGCAGTCGCAGCACCTGCAGACACTACAATGGCTGCAACTATGGCATCAGTTATCCCAAAATCTCGCTTGGGCCGTTTCCCCGATGTATCCGTCAGGCAGGAGCGGACCAAAGTCCAAACCGCCAAAACACCTCTGGGTAATTTCCCTTCCGAGTCCGCATCAAGCAGGTCATGCCCTAATTTTTCCCATGACTCCTTGTTAATGTAGCCCTCTTCAACAAACCAATTTTTCCCGTGACTCCTTGTTAACGTAGCCCTCTTCAACAAACCAAGGAGCCGCTTCCCTGACTGCCTCAAGGAATGCTTCCACTGTGGAGTCCTTTAATTTTATTCCACAGGTTTTCAGCAACTGAATCAGAGACTTTTGTACCTTGGGCTTAGCATGTAAGTTTCCCATGTTTTTCCTTATGTGAATATATTTTTCGTCCTGTCCTTTTTTTTTCCCAGGAGCTTCTCCATCCCTATAAACCGGGCACTTTAACTTGCTAGCAAACCTTACCTTTCCTTTTTTCTTTTACTTATTGTATTACAGTCACACTTTGCACTCTGAACAACAGGAAGGGACCACGAACAAAAACAGCAACAAAAAGAAAACAACGGCAGTGGCAAGGAAAAACATTGAAACAAAAAAACTATCCATGAAGGAAGAAGCGAAAGTGAAAGCGAAAGCAAAAGCGAAAGTGCAAACGAAAGCAAAAGTGAAAAAGTGAGAATGAGAGGTTCCCCGTAAGGGCCACCAACTGCCGCTTCCCTGGACTCTGTCCAGCAGAGCCCAGTAAAAACGACCACCACCAACGGCAGTTCAAACTTCTCTTCTTTTTTTATTGCCCGGTTCCATCCCCTTTTATCTCCTTCTCCCTCCAATCACACCACATTCCGTAGGATACACAAGCCAGATCGCTAGACAGGATTGGTC